TTTTTTTTTTTGAGACAGTTTTATTTTGTTGCCCTCGGTAGAGTGCTGTGGCATCATAGCTCATAGCATCTCAAACTTTTGGGCTCAAGTGATTCTCTTGCTCAGCCTCCAGAGTAGCTGAGACTACAGACACACGCCATAATGTCTGGCTATTTTTAGAGGTGAGATCTCGCTCTTGCTCAGGCTGGTCTAGAACCTGTGAGTTCAGGCAATCCACCTGCCTCAGACTCCCAGAGTGCTAGGATTATAGGCATGAGCCACTGCACTCAGCCTCATTTTTAAGCTTTTAAGGTGTATTTTTACTGCACCTTTCCTGTTTAAATATACAAATACTTACCATTGTTTTACAAGTACCTACAGTATTTAGGACAGTAACATGCTGTATAGATTTGTAGCCTAGGAACAATAGGTTATACTATGTGACACATGACTATACCCTGCACTGATTTTTGCTGTCAATTGTTTTACATATTTTTAGGCAGTTTCCCCCTCACATACCTCAGTAGCCATTTCCAAATTCTGTTCAGCCTTTCCGCGGAAAAGCTACTACGCTTACCCCTCACCCTCAGCACATTGTCTCTCCTAATTCATGATAATCATTCCTTGCTAACTTACCTATATTGATAGCTTGTGTCTTTAACTCTTTTCTTCTGATCCTAAGGTAGTACTCTTTCCCCAATTTCTATTTATTTTTAAACACTGTGCAGGCACATAAACGTAAGAAACTTTTTAAAGAATTACCTTAACTTTTGCAAAGTGAAGATGCTAAGAGTAAAAAGGAGAAAGACTTATTAATTAATGTTTCTTCTCGGGGACTCTGTTCCATTACTTGTTTCCTACCTCACCTGTATATTCAATCTCACTCTCTTTGGTGTTTGCCATTCAACCAACAAACACATTCTAATGTCTTCCATTCATAAGATATTAAAAAAGCACTTCATATTTTATACTTTCTATTTATCAACTCCTACAGCCCTTCCATTCTGAGGGAGCAGTCAATATATCTACTTCTTCACCTCCCATTCAGTCCGTAACTCCCTCTCTAATGCTTTAAGATTGTGCCTTCATGAGAAGCCACTGACAAAAATCAATACAGTGACACTGGACTACACCAATCAAGAATGGGCAAGGCCGGGCATGGTGATTCACACCTGTAATCCTAGCACTTTGGGAGACTGAGGCAGGTGGACTGACTGAGCTCAGGAGTTTGAGACAAAACTGAGCAAGAGCAAGAACTCACTTTGTCTTTACTAAAAATAGAAAATCTAGTTGGGCACTGAGGCAGGCACCTATAATCCCAGCTACTTGGAAGGCTGAGGCAAAAGGATCGTGTGACCCTAAGGGTTTGAGGTTGCCCTGAGCTATGATGCCACAGCATTCTATCCAGGGTGACAGAGTGAGGCTCTGTCTCAAAAAAAAGAAAAAAGAAGAAGAAGAAGAAAAATGGGGAAAATTATGATTCTACAAATACAACAATTTTGTTGATGACTATACCTTTTGATGGAAATTGGGACTGCAGAGGGGATCTGATTATGAGTTTTCCCTTGTCTCTAAAGTGGAGAAAATTGTAAGCTAAAAACAGTAGCCTCCTAAATTTTCACAAGTTAGGCAGCAAATGAGTATTTCATATGTGTGCTTAAATTCTTTAAAAAGTTTCTTACATTTATGTGCTGGCACAGTGTTTAAAAGAAAGAAAAATTGCATCTTATATTTCCACTGGACTAATGTCTAGACTAGAATGCCAGGAATGAGTTGCACTCCATCTACTAATAGATAGGAACTAATAAAAAAATCACTTCTATAATACCTTTCATTAAAATTATCTTAAGATACAAATCTTTCTAAGCAAAATAGCAAGGAACATAGTAACTAAATACTTTGAGACCTTCACTAAATTACTTAACTTTCTCAGTTATAAAACAGGATTATACTGTACTCTCCTTCCAAGTTTAATCGTTAAGATTAAACAAGATAACATACATAAAAGCACTTAACACAGTTCCAATCACAGGTTAAATACCTTCCTTCACCTTAGCACAATGCCATACTCCCAATAAGCATACAATTACTATGGAGTATATTTTAAAAAGTAGTATTAAAATTTTGTGAACTGGGTCACACCTGTGGCTTAGTGGGTAGGGCCACCGGTCCCATATACCAAGGGTGGTGGTTCGAATCCAGCCCTGGCCAAACTGCAACAAAAAATATAGCTGGGCGTTGTGGCAGGTGCCTGTAGTCCCAATTGCTCGGGAAGCTGAGGCAAGAGAATTGCCTAAGCCCAGGAGTTGGAGGTTGCTGAGAGTTGTGATACCACAGCACACTACTGAGGGCGATAAGGTGAGACTCTATCTCTTAAAAAAAAAAAAAAAACTTTATGAAAGAGAAAATGTGGCAAAAGTACCATCTGTTCACATTCACTAATACAGGTAATCTTTCAAATGAAAAGCATCAATTAGAAGTGAAAGTTACTAGAGGATATGCAAGTATTTTTAAGGGAATTCAGCTAGTAAATATACTTTGATAGATTAAATTCCCAACAATTTTCTCTAAGTGTACAAGATTACATACGATTTAATAAAATGGACAGAGATAGCATATACGAAGCTGCAGTTTCCCAGGCTGGGAAAGACTTGTCTTTCCTTGGGTGCAATGTATCCTAAATGTACAAAATTTCCTTACATATACACAAAAGTAATGTATCAAAGGGATTAGAAATGGAGGTTTTTCCTCTAAGTCCAAAAGTGATAATAGCACACAAAACTTAAATGAATCTCCTCCAAATATTAAGAGGAAAAAAACCCTTAGAATTAGTGCAAAGCTGCTGGACTTAGTAGAATGCAGCCTATCGGCTGCTAATTCTAAAAAATATCCTAGGAGTGGAGAAAGCAGTCAATCTTCCCAACACAACAACATAAAACACCACACATATATGAGAACATACATATCTGTTAAATATCAATTTACACTGTTCCACTGACTTACAAATCAAAAGTTTAAGGTCTAAAAAAATAAATCCTACTCTACTTCTGGTCACATTTTGCACCGGTGGCTACTGGAGACTAGGAGTTATCCACGTCGATTCAAGGCAAGAAGGACAGAATAATAAACCCAGTGTTCACATTCAAATGTAGGGGAAGAGGAAAAGGGAGGCTCCAAGTCCATAAAGTTCTCCGCCCTCTCAAACACTGCAAAAATAGTCCACGTCTAAAGACACTTACCCTTGAAACTCCTTGGAGAGTGACTTGGGAGACTTTTTGTTCAGATTTCTGAGGGGGAGTGATTTAGGAATGCTGCAAGATTGCAACTTTCAAATACATGGACATAATGTAAATACTAGAAGTATTTTTTCTTTCAGGAAAGATCTCTTCCTTGACAAACAGTTCAACACTCCAAATCAGTAAAACTCCCAATTCGACCTCAAGTATAAGACCCCCTCCCCCCAAAAATCAGAGCTTTAAAGTATATGCAAATAAAGTACACAGACTATTTCCAGCAATTCCTAACTCACTGTCGTATAGGAAAAGAGAAAAGGAAAACGAAGCAGAAAAAAACACTTGGGCAAGGGAGGCGGCGAGATGAGAAAGTAAGAAGGGGATGGGGGGGGGAGAGGAAAAAAGTCCAGCTGATGCTGACACTTAATTGGAAGAAAAGAGTGGAAAATATCCTGAAAATACAGTATAAGGGAAAGACTGGGTGGGACAGGGACGCAGAAGAGAAAGTCCACGCTAAAGGCCTACCCAAGAGGGCCCCTGTGTACAAGGGACACCAAAATGGGCCAAGACTCATGAAGAATAAATGTCAAGGCCTAAAAGCTTAAGAGACAGGGATGTGCAGGAAGGGTGTTTCTATATCGCCATCGCGGACACCGCACCCGACACCTCGGGAAGCGATCTTGCTACGGAGGGGTGAGGGGTTGAGCGTGGGGGTTCGCAGACGTGGAAGGGGGTGCGGCCGGAGGGGTTGCGGGAGCGGAGCGAGCGGAGGGCAGGCCCGCGGCCCATACCTTGTAGTAAACATCGAACTGGATGTTCTCGGGCAAAGAGCGGATGTCGCGGCGGGAGCGGATGTAGTTGTCCACGACAGCGGAGATGGCGGTGTTATAGAGAGTCTCGGGGATCCACTCTAGCTCCACGGCCGCCATCTTCCTTCCCTCCTCCTCCGCCTCCTCCGCCTCCTCCTCCCGAAGGCCCCCGCCTCCCTCCGTAGCGAACTCCTCTGCGGCCCCGGAGGATTCGGAGGGTCGGCGGCAGCCACGCGGGCACACGGCAGAAGGGCACGGCTGCCCTGTCTCGTCCGGGGCTGAGCTGGGGACAGTGGCAGCGGAAGCAGCCCGGGCAAAGTGGGGGGTCGGGAACAGACGAACGCCAGGCCAAAGCCTCACATTCCGGGTTTGCGAAGAACCTGGGCTCTGTCCCAGCGCCAATCCCTGCAGGGGCGGGACTGCGTGTGTGGCGTCGTGACGTAGGCGCACGCTGACGCGGTGGAGGGAAGGAATGCGGCAGGCGGAAAACTTGGGAAGAGCTGAGCCCTCCCACCGAGAACGTGTTTGTACTTTCTAAGGTATCAGGGATGCGCGGATGTCTTTGTACACAGCGAAAAGTTATTACAGGGTTTTAACCCCCCAGTTCTGAGTTATTACCTACAGTTCCTTCAGCAGGTTCTTAGACCTGGACCCTTTTGAAGCTCAAGTGAAAGAGTGGATCATTTCCTCCCAAAAGTGCACAGTTATCCCCGTGTACATTATGCATTCAGAGAATTCCGTCACTCTAGAAATCTTTAGACCTGGGTCCCTAACCCAAGTTAAAAACCCACGGTTCGGGTCCCAGGGGTCACAAAGAAGGGAGGCTGGCTTTTCATTACATAACCATTGGCATCGAATGAACTTTTTACCTTGTTACTTTATCCTGATGAAATTTACGAGAAAAGAAAAAGCTCTAGAACTTGGTGCGAAGGTTAACCTGAGAGGAATAACAAATTGGCAGAAAACAATAAGGCTAAACGGTAGCTGTGATAGGACCTAACGGTATGATAGAAATGAAGATTAAGATTTTCTCCCAGAGTTATACAGTCCGGGCTTCAAGGATTGTTGAATATTTGGGAGTACTTGTCTCAACTCCTTTCCTTCCTCAGCTTGAACATCCCCTACTTACGTAATTTAATTTTCTAAGTCTGTGATTTCAAGAACTTTTTTTTTTTTT